CCATGGGCATGGGGTGCCAGGGGGTGCTTTCCCTTTGGGGTCCTGCTCCCTTTCCCAGGGATGCCAGCAGTGTGCCCAGGGGCCAGGTGGACTTTTGGGGAATGTGTGTGGCACCCACAGGGTTCAGACACAGCTTCAACAGAGCCTCCTGCATCTGGCAGGGGCTGCAGAGCATCATCCCTGGGCCAGCTCAGCCACCTCAGCCACCCTGTCCCCATGACTGCTCCGTGGGGACTGTACCTATGGGACCCCCACAGCCCCTGTGGCACCCACAGCTGTAAGGATCAGCTGTAAACTCCCCTCCTACCCACCCACCGTGTCCCCCCACGGCGCTGCAGCCCCAGGAGCAGCAGAATTAAGCAGCAGAACCCCTTTTGCCCGGCTCTCTGGCTGCCAGCCCTGAATTTTGCCTCAGGCAGCTGAGCCGCAGCCAAATCCCATCTGTGGGACACGTTAGCGCCACAGCCCGAGCTGCAGTTGCGGTGAGCAGGGCCAGACCCTCCCTCCCCTTCCCTTGCCTGGCCCAGGAGGGGGGAGCAATCCCACAAAAACAGCAAGTCCCCAGTCTGGGAAGCACGCCGAGCCCGGCTGGTTGCAGTTAGGATAATGAGAAACATCTGGGCCGGGTGGTGGGAACAGCTGGGAGCGGGGTGCCAGGGCGGCCGCTGCGCTCCTGGCACGGGGACAGCGGGGATGGATCCCAGCCTGCCTGGAGCCACAGGGCCACCAGCGCCTGCTGGGGCCTGCCAGGTCACCTTCCCTGCTCCCACGGAGCCCCAAATCCCTGCACACTGACAGGAGACCCAAATCCCTGCACACTGACAGGAGCCCAAAACCCCTGCAAACTGCTGTCCCCCTCCAGCTCAGCTTGGAGAAAACCACGCCAGCAGATTCCTGTGATAAACACAGACCTCCACTCACAGACCCCTGCTCTGGGGGGGCTGCCATGCAGAAGTAGAAAAGGGGCTATTTTTGCACTTTTTAATTATTACTTTGCTAGCAATGGACAAGGGACAGCGGGCTCAAACATCTGCTGGCACTGCCTGTGCTGCCAGGTGTGCCAGCACCAGGCAAATCCCTCCAGAGCAGGGTGACGCTGCAGAGTCAGCACAAAATTAAAAGGCAATTTTAAAAAAAGGGGGATTTTTAATGAATTTGCAATTGCAAGTGGCAACCAGGTGGGCTGACCCCTCTCTTTATTGCAACCAGCCCTGGCCCTGCATAACTCCACATGTGTGGGGGCATGTGTGCCTGGGGGGACACGGGCAGAGCCACGGGCAGCTGCCAGCCCCGAAGGCACCCCCAAATCCCCTGCGCTGAAATGCAGCCATGAATCCCACCCTGCCCAGGCTGGAGACCCACCTTGAGGAAGGGGATGACGAAGGGTCGCAGCGGGAAGTTGGTGGCCTCTTGGAGCTTGGCGTGGAACTCCTCGATGGTGAGGGTGGAGTTCTGTGGGGACAGCCTGGGCTCAGCACCCCTGGGGCACCCCTGCCTGTCCCTCCCCCATTGCTGCTCCTCTGCCAGGCCCACAGAGAAACCACGCTCAAGGGAAAACCACCCTCAAGGCTTCACTGGCCATGCCAGCAGCCAGGACCAACCTGCACTGGCTGTGCAGATCCCAGGAGACGCTGGGAAAACAACCCCCTTTCCTCCAGGGTTTAGATCAATCTAGGCCACACTTTCCCTTTCAGCAGCATCTCCATCCCCAAAAGGAAACCCAGGATCCCCAGATGTGGGGTCCCCTGGCTGAGCCCAGGACGTACCACGAGCCCCAGGACGAGGGTGCGCACCCGCTCCCCGATCTCGGGGGAGATGTCGTTCCCAAACTGCTGCAGGGTGGTGAGGAAGCGCTTCAGCTTGGAGAGCTGGCGGGCACCACAGGCTGGAGGGAGCTGGTGGGTGGACAGGGAGGCGCTGGAGGAGGTGGCTGGCCCGTTGCTGAACCCGTTGGGGGTGGACGGAGCCCCATTGATGGCGGTAGGTGAGTGGCTGCTCCCGTTCATCACTGGGGACACAGGGAATGGGGGGTCAGAGTGGGTGGCTGTGCCATGGCACTGTGGGGCCAAGGTGGGATGGTAGGACCAGAGTGCCCTGCTGGGTAATGTGGGGCTGGCACCCCCTGGAGGGATTCAGGATGCTGGTGAATCCCCGGGGCTGCATCCTGGACTGGGGAGAAGGGAAGGAGGGGATGCAGAGCATCCCCCAGCATGGTGAGGGCCTGACCAGCTCCTCAACAGCCAAGCAGCCAAGGGAAGGGGCTCCATCCTCCCCTTGGGGAGCTGCTCAGCACTCCCAGAGAGAACCCATGAGCCATTTCCCAGGGAGCCCAGCCTGGCTTGCAGAATGCCACTGCCACCTCTGTCCCCACTGCCCGCTCAGCCAGGACAGGAGCTGCCTGCACACTGCACACCAACTGACCCAGGGGGATATTCTGGGGTACCAACCACCAGAGTGGCAGACCCTGCTCTCCTGCACCAGCCCCACATGAGCACAGGGACCTTTTCCTGGCTAGCACAGGTGACAATGGCTGTCACCCCTGTCCCGACGGCATGGATGACAGCACACATCACCCGTGTCCCTATGGCAAGGGTGACAACACACGTTGCCCATGTCCCAATGTTGTGGGTGACAACATGCATCACCCATGTCCCGATGGCATGGGTGACAATGTGTCACACAGGTCTCAATGTCATGGGTGACAACACACGACACCCATGTCCCAAGGCTGTGAGTGACGACATGTGTCACCCATGTCCCAGCCAGCACAGGTGATAACACGCATTGCCCATGTCCTGACTCTGCAGGTGACCACACATGTCCCAACATCATGGGTGATAACACACATCACCCATGTCCCAGCCAGCATGGGTGACAAGACATGTCACCCACATCCCAACAGCGCAGGTGACAACACGTGTCACCCATGACCTGATGGCAGGGGTGACAACATGTGTCACCCATGTCCCGACAGCACGCTGCGCCTGGCACACACATGCCTGTCCCCTCTGGGACCCCCTGCACTGACCTGGGGGTGCTGCCCTGCCAGCCCTGCCTGCTCGGGGGTCCCTCTCCGCTCACTCTCTGGCCGGGCAGTGCCCACCGCCCACTGAAGAGCTGCCAAAAATACCCCAGCAGCCAGCAGGGCTTTATTCCCGTGACAGCTGCGTGACCAAGTTGGACAGTACAGCACAGCACACGTGTCCCTGGCTGGGATGGGGCTGGGGGTCCCATCCCTGTGACTGGCGAGGGGAGCACCCCGGGGCTGTGGCTGTGCTCGGTCTCTCATGAGAGCAGGTGTTTCATTTTACTTACAAAGACAGACCATCGACCATTTCAAGCAACCATGAAAACGGCCGCGAGGCAGAAACGTCGGAGGGCCAGCGTCTCGATCTGCAAGCAAAATAAAACACGCTATGATGAGAGAGCAGAGGGGGCAGCTCTCGGCCCGGGGCCCTGCACGGGATGCTCCTCACCATGGGCACATGGGCCATGGGCAAAGCTGCCAGACCCACCAGGGAGCTGTGTGTCCCTGTGTCCCACTGCGGCCACAGGCAGGGTTCACAGGGATGCTTGGCTTCCTGATAAAATCCTGACAGTTTAGGGACCAAATGAGGTCCCCCAAGGCCAAGAACAACCAAAACACCGTGGTGGCCATGCCAAGCTGCTCCATGCTCCCCCAGCCTTGTGTCTCAAACCCTGCTCCATGCTGAGCTGGGATGGAGAGCCTGCCTGCACCCCTGGCCCTGCATCCCGAATCCTGCTCCGTGCTGAGCAGTGGCAGAGAGGCTGCCTGCACCCCCAGCCCTGTGTCCTGAACCCCTCTCTGTGCTGGGCTGTGGTGCAGAGGACATTTGCACTCCTGGTCCCTCATCTCAGAGCCAGCCACACCTGGGCTGCCACATCAGCACAGGGCTGGAATTGACACCCAAACCAACCAAGCACAGCCAAGCACAAACTGATTTCTAGTCAGTCCAGAGTTGCTGCTGGGGGGATGCAGGTGTCAGGTGATGGATCCTGGGGGTTGTTTTGGGGTGTTTTCTTCCCCACTGGGGTTTTTCTGAGCAAGAAACAGCTACGAGCAAAGCCCTTGCACATGCACATGCCCAGGAAAAGTCTCAGCAGAACTGGAGCAGCCTCTGGCAGTGGCCACTGCCACTCCTGCCAGGGCCCAGTCTCGTCCCCTGCCTGTCTGGATCCTGCACTGCCTGTGCCTTGTCCATCCACGGGCCAGGACAGTGACATCAGCACAGTGACAGACCCCTGGTGCAAACCCTATGGGTGTGCAATGAGCCCACGTGCCTCTGGTGCCACCACCACTTTGGGTGGCTGTCCCCACCCAACTACAGAGACTGAAACTCCTCCCTGGAGTCCCCTGATGCCGCCACACCACAGCCTGGGCAGGACAAGGAGCTCCCAGCCACTGTGGCTGGCCATGACACTGCCCTGCCAATACTGGTGCCACGTGCAGAGGGACAGATGTGTCCCCACACGCATGGGGCCATCTGCAATCCACAGGAACTCCCCCAACCCCACCACCCTCCTACCACACACTGCCCTATGCCAGCACTTGGTGACTGGCTGGCAGGATGTCCCTGTCCCCAGGGACCTCACAGGGCACTGCCAGCCATGGCTTGGCAACGTGCACCCAAGCAGAGCCTTGAGGCCAGCTGCTGTCACCCGTGTGTCACCTGCTGTCACCGAGCGCGCTGCTGGCCCCATCAGGAGGAGCTGGGCACAGCCCCGGGCTGGCAGCCCGTGCCAGGGTACTCACTGGTGCTGGGAGTGAAGGAGGGGTGGCGGGAGGCTCCCTGGGCGGCGGGCGGGGGCATGCTGGGCGGCGAGGAGCGCGCCTGCGTCTTCACGTCGGCCGGCGAGTCGGGCATGGCGGCTGTCTCCGCGTTATCTGCGGGAAGAGGGCACGGGGAGGTGAGCAGGGTGTGCCAGGCAGGGCTGGGATTCCCTGCCAAACTGGGGTCAGGGGTACAGGGGACACCTGGGGACATCAGGCTGGGCTGGGCATCACCAGTGCTACTAGAGGACTCGGGTGACAGGGACGGTGCCCGGTGTGCTGTGTGCCACAGGGTGGTGGGAGGGCATGGAGCTGCTGTTCATGGACACAGCGCTGGCACCGCTCTGCCCCTGCAGTGCCAAGCCTGCCCCAGCCTGTGTCACATCACTGCTGTCACAGTGACACATCCTGGGAATTCCTGCTGCCCCCTCACCATGCCTGGTAGCATCACCCAGGGCTGGCACAGCCCCTGGCAGAGATTGTGGGGTCATTACAGCCAGTGTTTAGTGGCAGTGACAGCAGCAGGACCCACACATCCACCAGTGACCGTCCTGCCCAGACACGAGTGGCCCTGCAAGGGCAGGTCCTGCAATCCAGGAATTCTGGAGCTCCAGCCATCATCATCACCATCACCATCACCCCAGCAGGCATCACCACCTCCCTCCCAGCCCCAAATAACTCCCAGCAGTGCATTCCCTGCCGAGGGGGGAGCATGCCAGGCACCATCCCCTGCAGACACGGCCCCGGGGCAGGCTCTGNCACCCGGGCGAGCAGGGGCATCTGCAATACTCTTATATATTACCTCTTCTCAGGAAACGTAAGAAAAATAGACAATATTACATATGTCACACCATAAATAAAGTGAACAGTCACGGGAGGGGCACCCGGTGAAGCTCCCAGGGTTGGGGTGGGGGCACAGAAACCACCCAGGGGGTGCACCGAGGTCTTGGGGGGCACAGAAACGTCCCCGGGGTTGGGCCAAGACCTTGGGGTGCACAGGAAACCCCTGGGGGGATGCACCAAGATCTTTGGGTGCACAGAACCTTCCCAGGAGGGTGCATCAAGATCTTGGGGTGCAGAGAACCTTCCCAATAGGATGCACCAAGATCTTGGGGTTCACAGAACCTTCCCAGGAGGATGCACCAAGATCTTGGGGTGCACAGAACCTTCCCAGGAGGGTGCACCAAGACCTTGGGGTGCAGAGAAACCTCCCAGGAGGGTGCACCAAGACCTTGGGGTGCACAGAACCCTCCCAAGAGGATGCACAAAGATCTTGGGGTGCACAGAACCCTCCCAAGAGGATGCACCAAGATCTTGAGGAGCAGAGAAACCTCCTGGGGAGGATGCACCGAGACCACAGAACAACAACCCTGGGAGGATTCAGAGAGATCTCGGGGTGCACAGAAACCCCCCTGGGTCTCAGGGTGCACAGAACTCATCCAAGGTGACACACCAAGATTTTGGGGTGCGCAGAGCCCTCCCAGGGGATGCACCAAGGCCTTGGGGCACACAGAACCCCCAGCAGGGCTGGGTGACAGCGGCACAGGGCCATCACCCTTGGCGTGTGCCAAGCTCTGCTGTGGCCCAGCCCAGCCCTGTGACCGGCAGCACAACCCCCCCAGCCCCGAGCCCTGCCCTCCTCTTCCTCCCCTACGGAAAACACACAGGATGGGTTTTGCAAATGCAGAAAAACTACAGCTCCTCTCGATGCCAGGCCTGCTCGGGCCAGCGCCATGGCTCCACGCTTCCTCCTCATCCTTTATTTGGCAAACGTCTCTTATTATTATCACTAGCATCATTATTATTATTATTATGGTTCATTTTTGGACCTCTGCAGACACTATTTACATTCACATTAGCGCACAGCACTGCTGCCTCCGCTCGGAGCTCGGGCTTCCCCTATTGCACTTCCTCCTCCGTGCTGCTCCAGCGAGGCAAGAATCCCAATAATCCACATTGTCCTTGGCCAGGAAGGCGGCAGCGTTCCTTTTCCTTTCCTTTTCCTTTCCTTTTCCTCTTAAAAATCCTTGTGAAACAAATCCAGCGCGGGGTGTGGGAGCAGCCTGGCAGTGAAGGGATGGGGGGTCCCCCGACGGCTTTGGGGAGGGAGAAACCCAAAATCCATCTTTTTAACTTCCCTTTTTTTTGAAATTTTTTTTAATTATTATTCTCTTTTTTTTTTTGCTTTTTAATCTCCTTTTTGTTCTCCTTTTCCAGGGTGGTGGCGGGCAGAGGTAGAGAGGTGCCGGCTCCGGCTGCGGTTCTCAGCCCCATCTCCCCCTCCCACGCCTTGGGGGTTGGGGTTTTAGTAAAAAAACACCTTTTTTTTTTTTTTTTTTTTTTTTGCTTTATTTTAATAGAAATTCTTTAAAGCCCCAGGGGCATGTCCATCCATCCTTGTGGGGAGGGGAAGGAAGCGACAACAGAACGAAACGAACTTTGGCAGTGGAGAGACGTTTGGATCTTCCTTGGTTTTGGATTTCCTTTGGAGCAGAGGTGAGTCTGGTCTGTTCTTGGCTAGCTAGCAAGGTAGTTACAGGTGAGCGTCCGTCACGCGTCGTCTGGTTTTTGGATTTTTCCTTTTTTTTTTTTTTTTTTTTTTTTTCTTTTTTACAATTTCTTACTTAAAGCCAAAGAGTCCGACGTTTTCTTTTTTATTTTCTTTGGAGCAGAGGTGAGTCTGGTCTGTTCTTGGNGGGGATCTGTCACTGTCACCGTGCCTGCCCTGCCACCGGCTCCAGCCAAAGATGGAAGCGGCCACCACAGCCACCCCCGGCCATGGGGACCCCCTGTGCCTGGCTGATAATCACTAATCCAATATCCATCCTTAATCCAGGGCAACTGTGGGGAGATGAATTGAACCCGGCCACAACACTTTGGCAGGGCTAAGTAAAAGCAGGGCCTGATCCCCACCGAGATGCCATCGGGGTGGTGCCGCAGGCAGTGGCACACAGAGCACCAGGAGATGCTGGCAGGAGCCAAAATCTCAGCTGGTCACGCACAGGATCCTTCTGGAAGGCTCCAGCACCATGGCTATCCACACTGGAATGCTGCAGTTCCCTGTTCCTTGCTCCCTTCTCCCTGCCCAGCCACAGCAGAAACCCCAAGACCACTCAGCTTCCCTCCCCCCAAAACCTCAACTTCCTTACAGGCCCTGCAAGAAGAAATGATTTGTTTTGAAAAACTTTTATTTTCCTTTTCATGGAAATGTCCATCTCTGGGCAAAACTCCTCCAGCCTTCCAGGCTTCCCCCATCACTCAGCAGAGCAGGATCCAGCTCTGGCAGCAGAGGATGAGCCCTGAGCGTGCACAGGGGTCACAGCTGCAGCACCTGGATCCCACACGACCCTTGCCTGCATCCCTGGCACCATCCCTGTCCCTGTCACACCCCTGGCAGCATCCTGGCCTGCATCTCTGGCATGGTCCCTGCCTGCATCCCCCCCATGCCAGCCCTGACTGGTCCCCCTCGCTGCCCTGACTCCCTGCACATCCCCACACCAAGGAGAAAACATGCACACATTCATCCTGGCACTGACATGGCTTTTCCACAGCTTCCCATCAGCAGGAAAGTTTCCATCAAGCTGAGCAAGCACTCAGGGAAACGGGGCCTGGTTCTGGTTTTTCTTGTGTTTTCTTTTTTGCCTTTAAGTTTTAAATTTTCCCTGAGGTGTTTGCAACCCAAACACAGCCAGGCAGGCACAGGAATGGTCCCAAATCCAAGGGGATACAGAGCTTGGAATGCCCAGAGGACCCAACCACAGCTGTGCCAGCAACCCAGGTCCTCTGCAGGAGAGCAAAGGAGGTTTTGGGGAGCACAGTGCAGCCTCCCCTCAGCACCTTCAACCAGAGATTCCCCAGCACAGCTCCAGCTCCAACTCCAACTCCACTGGAATTATTTTTCCCTCTATTTTTTTCTCTCTTTGGGGTAATTTGTCCCAGCCGCTCAGGGCCGTGTCTGTTTTCCTCCATCTGGTTTCCATTAGGTCTGTGCAGCCCAGATGAATAAGTAATAATATAAAAATAAAAG